TTTTAGTCGAGAAATAAAACTAAATGAATCTAAAATTGATCAAACAGACAACACCATAACAACCCAAAACCACCAAAGCGGACCAAGCGAACAACACCATAACAACCCAAAACCGACCAAGTAGACACCGTGACAACGAACATCCGACCAAACAGACAACACCGCGACAACCCAAAACAAACAGACAACACCATGACGGCCCAAAACCGACCAAGCAAACAATACCATAGCAACCCAAAATCGTCCATACAGACTAAGCGGACAACACCATCACAACCCAAAATCGCCCAAGCCGACAACACCGTGACAACCCAAGCGGACCAAGCGGACAACACTATGACAGCCCAAAACCGACCAAACAGACAACACCATGACAACCCAAAACCACCCAAACGGATCAAGCGGACAACACTATGACAGCCCAAAACCGACCAAACAGACAACACCATGACAACCCAAAACCACCCAAGCGGACAACACCGTGACAACGAACATCCGACCAAACAGACAACACCGTGACAACCCAAAACCACCCAAGCGGACCAAGCGGACAACACTATGACAACCCAAAACCGACCAAGCAGACAACACCATGACAACCCAAAATCGCCCAAGCGGACCAAGCGAACAACACCGTGACAACCCAAAACCGACCAAGCAGACAACACCATGAGAGCCCAAAACCGCCCAAGCGGACAACACCATGACAGCCCAAAACCGACCAAGTAGACAATTTCGTGACAACCCAAAACCACCCAAGCGGACAACACCATGACACCCCAAACGACGAAGCGGACAACACTGTGACAACCCAAAACCGCCCAAGCGGACAACATCGTGACAACCCAAAACCGACCAAGCGGACAAGACTGTGACAACCCAAAACCACCCAAGCGGACCAAGCGGACAACGCTATGACAGCCCAAAACCAACCAAGCGGACAACACCGTGACAGCCCAAAACCACCCAAGCGGATCAGGCGAACAAATTGTGATAGCCCAAAACCGACCAAGCAGACAATACCGTGACAGCCCGAAACCGCCTAAGCGGACCAAGCGGACAACACCGTGACAACCCAAAACCGACCAAGCGGACAGCACCGTGACAGCCCAAAACCGCCCAAGCAGACAACACCGTGACAGCCCAAAACCGACCAAGCGGACAACACCATGACAACCCAAAACCACCCAAGCGGACCAAACGGACAATACCACAACAACCCAAAACCGACCAAACAGACAACACCATGACAACCCAAAACCACCAAAGCAGACCAAGCGGACAACACCATAACAACCCAAAACCGACCAAGCAGACAACACCGTGACAGCCCAAAACCGCCCAAGCGGACAACACCGTGACAACGAACATCCGACCAAACAGACAACACCGTGACAACCCAAAACAAACGGACAACACCATGACGGCCCAAAACCGACCAAGCGGACAGCACCGTGACAACCAAAAACCGCCCAAGCGGACAACACCGCGACAGCCCAAAGCCGCCCAAGCGGACAACACCGTGACAGCCCAAAACCGACCAAGCGGACAACACCGTGACAGCCCAAAACCGCCCAAGCGGACAACACCGTGACAGCCGAAAACCGACCAAGCGGACAGCACCGTGACAGCCCAAAACCGCCCAAGCGGACCAAGCGGACAACACCGTGACAGCCCAAAACCGACCAAGCGGACAGCACCGTGACAGCCCAAAACCGCCCAAGCGGACAACACCGTGACAGCCCAAAACCGACCAAGCGGACAGCACCGTGACAGCCCAAAACCGCCCAAGCGGACCAAGCGGACAACGCCGTGACAGCCCAAAACCGACCAAGCGGACAACACCGTGACAGCCAAAAACCACCCAAGCGGACCAAGCGGACAACGCCGTGACAGCCCAAGGAAAGCCCAAACCTCAATCCGGACAATTCCTAAAATTCCGGGAATTTTCAGCTCCGGGGAATTCCCAAAATTCCCGGGATTTTTAGACAATAAGCGTTAAAATTCCCGGAATTTTCAGGATCACCCTGCAAGGCCCTCACAAGCAGCCAAATGGACCGGAAGAGGAGGCGGGGCATCCGACGGGGCGGCCGCAGAGCGAAAATAGGGGTCGAGCCCGTAGCCTTTTATAGGGATATATATACATTGTGTATTCTAGATCTAGCACTCAAAATTTGGTGAAAATTTAAAGACTAGGGCGTTTCTTCATGAAATCGTCCGAAATTTCGTGATTTAGTTGTCCTGACACTGCCTGAGCTCTAGCATTGCACCTGAATCTTACTTGTTTTGCTAGATGAATTACGCCTTCTTCGAGGTCCTTGTGAACAAGAATCTTAGGCATCGAGTCTTGCTAATGGACAAAGGATGGCTTCAGCATCTAGATATATCCGGAGCAGGCCGGCGCCATGGTTTCGATATCAGCTGTTGGCCGCCTTTGGCGCTAGAAACATTGCGTGCTGGCCGCCTTTGGCGCCAGAAAGATTGCGAAAAGACCGGTCGAGCGGGTCCTGGGCTACCTCAAAACGCCCGGTGATTGTGTTTGGGAGCAGGCAGCCTTGAGCGCCATCATGTTCTATGCGCGCGATGCGTTTGCGAGTCGGCGGCCTTGGGCGCCATGCGATATACTTACTGCACGCTTTACAGACATTAATTGACTTGTAACTTTCAAAACCATGACGTCGTGGTGGTAGTCACTTCAGACTGTCTCTCCGCTGGCTTCGCTTGTGCTACGCAAAAGTGTCCGCTTCATGCTTCTTCTTTGCTCATGCGCGGCATTGGATTTTTCACGATTTGACGAGCTTGGGGCGTGGTTGCGTGAGCACTACCGAGCTTCTTCTTTTCTTTAAACACCGCTGCTGGAAGCAGCGGGCCAACTCTAGTTTTTTAATAAACAGCCGAATGATTTCGTCCTCCTCCTGAAGAATATTTTCCTTCGGGGCTTTTGGGGCTAAACTTGTGAACCAAACCAATGCTGAGCATGTATCCAGAATCAAGGATAGAGAAGTTTTAAGTACAATACTTTTGCAAGTGTTCGTATGAGTACTTGCAAAAGTCATATCTGGTGAAACAGATGGCGCTTTTAGCGCGGGTATTTACACATCATGTCTTGGTTGACATAAATAGTCGTACCTAGTGGCCTGTGTGGCCGATGCAGAGCCCCTGTGCACGCAGGAACACAGCTGTCCTGTTAGCACTCTCCGTGCACCAGACCCATTCGTCGATAGTACCTTGTCTGCTTCGTTGGATGAGAGTTCGGAGTCAGGCACGACGTAGGTTGAAGCTTCCGAGGCTGCCACGGATTCTGCATCACCCCGAGAGGCGTGTTGGCAGGGATCGAGTGCAGTGTTGATGCGCCCATGATTTTGGCCACGCGCCCAACCTGCGTGACATCTGCTATAGCATGCTGCTACACGCAGCCATTTCGCCAAGGAGGGAGGAGTAGTCGTGCAGGGATGTTGCAACATGAAAGCTGTGTGTCTCAACTGCCTCCAAGCAAAGGCAAAACAGACTCGGGGATTGACACATTACTTCTCAACCGTATGTCAATGACTTGGTGCAGCAGCAGCAGCACCTCTCGCTCACGGACAGGACTTCGCACCTTTTCAAAGGCGGCATAAGGCTCACTTGGCAGCTGGAACCTCAACGGCGTTAAGTACCAGGCACTGCGCAAATGCTCCCACTCCCAATGCAACGGCTGAGGAGACCTTGAAGCACTTCTCTGGCACTCGAGGCACATTGCTGCGATTTGGTCACATGAGATCCAAGCTAGAACTAACGATTTTCGCCTGAAGACGCGTAGGCTTCAACTAAGGATCTTTGAGCTCTCGAGGAAGACCATCGTAAGGGCTTTTCTATCTATGTATACATACATATACAAGAGGCATCTATCCCTGCTCTTCCCTTAACAATGGTAACGCACTAGCGAGAGGCTTGCATCAGCATGCTTGGCACTAGCAATAGAACATTCATCATCACTATAAACGTAAGAGCAAAGTAAATATTACAATGATTCGAAATGAATCGCTCCGATATCGGACAACGTCAAGTTCTTCGCTTTCGCATGCGAATGACAAAGCGAAACGACGGCAAGACGAGAGCACGTATACCAACAAGCGAGAAGTGGAACAAGGTTCGGGGCAAAATGTTTTGGTGCAAGGCAACTCCTCCGTCAGAGTCCTTTGCTGACAAGGAGGCAAACTGTACGGCGGCTGACGTCAGACTTTCCACGGCATGAACGGGCCTCATCTTTCCAATCCGAAGCAGCACACAATATGCCCCCAGCATGAGCTCTTGGACACTTGTCTGGCCTTTGACTGCAGCATTTTGTTTTTGTGCGTGATCAATTTGGCTTGAGACTAATTGAAAACACGCTAAAGCCTGCACACGATGCTTCATGCAGACTAAAAGCGTTAAAAAAGTTGGATGTGATGCCTGAAGGGTCGGCACATAAAAAGAAAAGAATCCTGTAAATATCTCGTTCTGCAGGAACGGAGAAGTGAAAATCGCAAAAGCTCAACACCTGGGCACCTGGGGTCCATTTGAGGGTCGCACGCTGGGGCTGCACCCCCCTTTGCAGTAAATTTCCGTTGTCGGCTTATGTCGCCATGATCGCCACCAAAGTCATATCGGTCAGCCACGTATCAAAGATCTGAACCGCGGAAAGCGCGTGAAAAAAACAAAGACGGAAGATGGGGTGGAGCCATGGTCTCAACTTGCTGCTACACAGAAGCAAAGGGCGTCCAAAAAAAAATGACAAGAAAGTGCCCTGTGCACACCTGAATGCTAGACCTCCCGAAAAAGCTGCACATACAAGACTGCCCATAAAGGGCCCGGAACATCCAACGCAGTTTTTAGAAAGGTGACTTGGGACGGTGGGCAGGCTCATGAAGCAGGGCCGGCCAAGATGGGCGCCGATGTGACATGGTCAATGAACATGAAGCCATAGCCAGCGCAGCACCAGTCAATGGGGCTTATTGTGAATTTAGATCTCACACACTCCGACAGACGACACCTGACACATCCTGGCACTGAGGCCATTGCCAATGGAGCTGCGTGCGGGACAACGAGGAAGGTGGTCTTGATGATTCCTCCGAAGGGGCGAGCTGCGCGGCTTGGCTTCGTGGTTTCGTGTGCGTCGGTCTTTGGTTGTCTTCAGTGACTCCAAGGATGGTGCTGAGCCCGATCTCACAGACGGAGCAGACCGAGATGTACTAAGACGTCCAGGGCTACCCGGTCTAGAAAGGCCTCACATGACTCACATTGACTGACATTCACACACAATTTACAATGCACGATACGTAATTAACATTTCTTGCTTCCTTTGCCACCACCGTCTCACCACTGAGACTTTGGCCGGTTGCTGGCCTGGACAGGGACACTTCCCATCACGCGTGAAAGCCTGTGATGCGCCAATCCTTGCAACAAAAACACAAGAGATTCTCTGGTGAACCGTACAAGTGACGCACCACCAGCCCCGTCCGACCTTCCCCTTACTAGGGCGCACCGTGACGGACCAGTCATGCAGTTGAAGATGCAACTTAATTCCTGCAGCCCTGCCATGCCAGCAGTGTAGTCCATTGTAGTCCATGTCGTTGTTCAAACAGAGTGTTCCGAGCCTGAATACCTCCTGGATCTTCTTGGTTCTGCTGGGCTACAAGTGCGTGCCCGACACACCCCAACCTATGCCTCAGACACTCGTTCTTTTCGGGGCCACTTTTCAGCAGCGCAAGCACTGCGTGCCGACTATGTGGTACAAGACTAGTCCAGGATTGTGTGACCAAGACAGTTTAAACGGAATTTTGATTGCAAGGAGTCCGACCGCCTCTGCGTGTTTCGGTAGCTTAGGGCGTGGAAGAAAACACAAGGACAAGTGCACAACACGAGACAAGATGATGTCAATTTCGAAGCTGAAAGACACGAGAGACACAATGAGACCCACTTATTGACCCACATTGGCCCACTTGCTTGGCAGCCGCTTGCTTGGAACAACTTGTCCCTGCCACCCCTTGGCCTGTCGAAGGCGCTGGTGTAACCAAGTCCGTGAATGCAGACTGGCCTGCTTCGAAAAGCAACTGCAGGGACTGTTAAAAGCACAGCACATGTGAAAAAACATGATAAACACTCGTCACACATACTATATCATGCTTGCTATGTCATGTCCAGTCATGTTCTGTATCAAGTTGTGTGATCGTTGTGTCGCTGTGTTGCTCTGACGAGGCCTTCTGGGCTTCTTGTCGTTTGGCAATCCGCCCCTGCCCAGCTGAGCCAGCGTCGCACCGACCTCGAGCTCTGTTGAAAGTTTTGGATCTCTTGGCTTTGCGTCACTTCAGATTACATCGAAACTTCAGGGCTCAACTCCATACGGGGTCAGTGAGGCGCAGCTCTCCCCGATCACGGCCATGCGTCAACCTTCAAACTTATATCTTCAGTTTGCTCACGACGCTTCGCTCGGCGATACTCTGTGATATCGGACTCCATTGGGCGGCCCTCACTGCGCCTGCACGCTCATGAGACTATTGAGATGCAAGTGTCCAGCCCTAACTTCAGCCAGATAGCAGCGGTCAGGGCGGACAGCTAGACACCACAACACGCACCCGGCATTCAACGAGCTTGCGTACGTAAACCCTGGACATGGTGGCAGATGAGAAGATGCGACTTCGATCGAGGATGGACAGAATAGCTCGTGCGACCTTGCATCTTGCTTTCAGGCTCACAAGCTGCCCAACTTTCAGCAGCTTTTGCCACGATTGCACAGGCATCGCTTCATCTGGAAAAGCTGCGTCCTCTGCGATGCACCCTTCCACGCCTGGCAACAAGCTGAGGACATCCACCAATCGCTTGTTGAGGAAATGATATCTCAGCAGAAGAAACCAACATCGTAGCTGAAGGGACAGACGAACCCTTGTTTGTCCCTCTCGTCGGATAGACTCCCGACTCTGGATCGTGTTTCTAGCGACAGTATCCTTGGACTCAAGAAGCGAGACCCAGAGGACCCGGGACAACAGGACCTGTGTGAGGACCTTGTGCGCTCGCGTGCGTTTCTTCAGACTGGTAAACCAGTTTCGGTGAAGAGCAGGAGGCGCGGCAGGCGGCAGCACACCACATCGGACCGACTAGGCACGGCATTTGAAGCGCCTGCACATAGAAAGGTTGACTTTGACGATGGCGGGATATGCCATCCTACAATGTTGAAGCAATTTTGTTCGGCCCATTTCGGCGCCGACCGGGTGGCTGCCAGTTGCTTGGCCTGCTGTGTTTGCACGCAAACGGCTGCATCGTGCCGCATCAACAATAGCAATAGTAGTGATCCGATGGGCGTGTGACAATGTGACATGAGAAGTATTACTGCTTCTCTTGAAGAATTCAGGGGTGACTTACGAGTAAAAGATGATGAAACACTAGGAAAGTAAAGTTACAAGCCAACGCGCCTTCGCGAGCTCCCTCGGCTCCTGGAACCTCGGGGCTCTAGAAGCTCTCGACGCTCGTGGTACTATTGTAGCCACCCCTGTAAGAGCACATGGGTTCAGGTCGAACGGTCCGCCTAGGACTAGGGACCCCAGGTGGACGGAACCTACCCATGCGCACTTGGACTCGGACGAGTACGATTCCTGCGATCATGGTGACGTCGGCCGCCTAAGTGGAATGCACATGTCAGGTCGGTGAGCTGGAAGGTTCATGCTGAGGATGTCACATCGCCGCCTGCGTGCAGACCTCCTTCAGGCGTTGGAGTGTGAACGATATCGGTTAATTCCACCTTTGCTGACATAACTGTCTCCCTCCGATCCCAAAGCGCCCACTTCCACCAACAAAGGTTAAGGCTCCGCAAGCTGGTGAGCATCATGAGCACATCGTGAGCACATCAACATCAGCAGGAAGAAACCCCCCCGAATGGCGCGGGTTGGTCGACAGCCCGATTCAGAGTCCATCAGAGTCAACCAGCGTCAATCCGGCCTCCCAGGGCTTGGAGGCCTTCGCCTGACCAGCGCAGATGTGCAGAACGAAATCCCAGTTGCCCAGTTGGCTCTTGAGAGATCAAGGTAGCAGCACAGTGCTTCCTTGCAGCACAAGAAGGCTGTGCCTCGAACTGGAAGACGACTCTCTTATCCGGCCTGCATGAGTGCATGAGACACGGCATTTGAAGCACTGCATTGAAGCGCCTGATAGCCTGTTTCATATCAAAAACAATCGCATGCCGAAACCTCTGTTTCGGCGGTTTCTGCTTGGGCTCTTTGAACGGCCTTGTTGCTCGACCGCAATCAAGAATGTGCAGCAACTTTGCTGTTCACGACTCTTCTTGAGGATTGTGAGAAGGACTGCTGGACACTTTGGATGGATCAGAAATGATCGAAATACACACTGGTCGCAGCTGCGACCGGCACCTCCCCTCGACTTTAGAGAGGACTTGTCCTGCATGACAGTCAATCAATATGCAAGTTCCATTTGTCGAAATGTGCGGCACGGGCCTCCTCAAAAGGACTCACCGTCACCTAGGCTAGATGCAAGAACATCTATCCAGGACACCCCAGCTCACCCCGCAGCACTGTCATCTCTTGCAAGCTGTGGACGCTGAAGCCGAGGGCTTTCAAGAGCGCGGTCTGTGCCGCACTCCCCAACTTTGTGTCCTTCGAGGAGCACACCGAAGATGCCAAAAACATGCCGAAGATGTGAACAGGGCCAGCTGCTTAAAACTCAAAGTCATAGCATGAGAGAAGCTTGCGCAAACGCAAACCAAATCTGGTGCACTAGCAACAGGAATCACATTGGAATGGAGCTTGTCGCTTGCGCTCACTTGCTCCAGCGAGTCCCTACTCAAGTCAAAGCAACGGTAACCTGGTTCCTGTGAACTGTGACTCTCCTATGACTCCTGGAATCGCCTGGCGCTGCATGCGGCATTCTTGTTCGCGATCGCCAGCCATTCAATTCTTACTGCACTAATGAAGTGTGAACTGGTGGCCGGCCTCAAGCTGCGATCAAGCAAGGACTCTACGTTGGTATGGCATGACCACAAATTCACAAATGCAGTTGCAGATGCTTAGTCCGGCGTGGACAAAAAAATTCTGCTGCCATCCATACTGACATTCTTGTAGAATGGGATACAAGTGGCAAAGCTCAACTGCGCTGGCTAACTAGGCGATCATGGTGAAACAGCTCATGACATACAACTCCTATGCAAAGATGCAGAAGGGTATGCTTCGCATTCCCTTCTGCGCACTGCGTTAACAAAGAGTGGTTTGTTGGACAGCATGCCTGCAAGGCATGCCAGTCGACACTATGAATGCAAGCGCATCCACATGCGCTTTGAGCAATCACATGGCGAAAGATAGCGTTGGATAAAGACGGATACATTCGCAAATCACGATGACCGAAATGTCACATATTACACATTAAAGTGCCGATGTGTCATGATGGACCTTCACGGGTATCATCATTGCGCAAGCTGCGCGCTGATCTCGAAGTCTGCGACGGGCCGTTCATCAGGCTTAACTGCTGACCATCTGTGCGCCTTGCGACAACAGGACTCTGGACCTGTAAGGAGTCTTGCGACACCATGGAAGCGAAGGTTGAGGACTGCTTCAATGATCGCAATGACGGCTTCTCGGGCACGGACTTTGCCTTTGAAACAGGCCTTAATCGTGAAGGTGATGGCTTCGGCTTTGGTCTTGACATGTTGCTGATGTTGATTCTCTGCTGACTGCGGGGTACGGTGTCAGCTGTCCTTCTTGATTTTCTCTCCCATCGGTTGAAGAGATCTTGCTCTAGAGCTGCATCCTCATAGTTCCCAGGGTTACCAACTTCTTGCGGTGGCTGCATCAGATCAGGTCGCGAAGTGGGTGGTCCAGAAGTGTACGTCCTTGAAGACAACTGGGCCTGAATGGCCAATTGCATCTTTTCAAACGGCGACTCTTCCTCCTCTTCTTCAGAGGCCTCTTCTTCTTCCTGATTCGCTTGATTCGCTTGATTTGCTTGCTCAGCTCTTATAAGGCTTGAACGACTGATGGTGCGAGATGAGATGTCACCCTGATTTGGGCCCAGAGAACCTTCCTCCTCTTCGTCATCGAGATCCACGGCCAAGTGATCTGGAACATTCTGCAGCTGTGGGCCACTGCTGAAGGTTTCGATGCGCCTCTCACTTGGCTGTGATCTCTCGGCATCGTCTTCAATGATTGCTGTTGCAGATGCTCTCAGCCCGTCGTCGACGCTGGCTTCTGATGCCCCCCTGCGCAAGCGCGCTTGTTGGAGAAGGTCGGCTGTTTGAGCTTTGGCAGACGCAGCCTCTAAGGCAATCATAAGGCTTTCGTCTCGGGTTGGTGGTGCCGCGATGAACTCGCTGTTCGTCTCATGCTCAGAATCGGCGTACGACAGTTGCTTTAGCGCAGCCTGATTGATGAAATCGTCATCTACCTCGTTCCAAGCATCGCGTCGGAGAAGTTCCTGGCGCATGACAGAGCGAGCAACGAACTCTTCGAAAACACTTCCAACTGCGCAGCCAAAGACAACCGCTGCTGTAAAGCCAAACACAGGGTTCCACTCGGCCGCCAAAACAGCTACACCCAAGAAGGTGAAGAAGCCTGCAAGTTGGGGAGGATTGTCCAGCATCTTATTGACAGCCAAAGCCAAGACGATGCCGGAGAAGTTTCCAACTCCAAGAGCAAATAGTGCCTTCACTGTGCTGCTCACTATACTACTCTCGACGCTCGGCCCAAAAGCAGCCTCCGCCACCACGTTCCCAATGAGCCCTGACAAAGGAACACCCACGGCGCCCCCAAGCTGACGCACAGTCCTGAGGACTCGCTGGGTGGGCGAGTCCCGCCAATTGCGTGGGCCAGGGCCATCGTCCTCTTTGTATGGACGGTTCTCGAGCAGCACCATCTTCAAGCTCACGAACTGCGCAGCAGCACTAAGAACCACCCCTGTAACCGCACCACGAACCGTTACCATTGCCTTGTCATCCTTGTAAGCGAGGATGTCTCTGAAGGCTGTGAGCGTGTTCGTGCGTTCATCACGGAGGGAAACCACTCCAACACCAACTCCCACTGTCAACGAGTAGAGAATTTTCACAACCAGCGGAACGACTGCCCTGCGAGGTGGATCCCCAGGCTGCGGGCTGCTTCGCTCTAAGCAGGCATTCACCGCCAATGTCAACATGCTTGTGGTATATCCTGCGATGCATCCAATGATCAAGCCGTCGGCAAAGGAAGCCCATCCATTCGTGCTGGCACTGTTGGTTATGAGGATGGCCACCGGCCCACCGGCAATGACCTGACCCACAACAGTTCGAGGAATGTAGTTCTTGGCATTCTGGATACCTTCTACTGCCTCCAGAGTGCGATAGAGTGCTCCAAGCAGAAAGCTCAACAAAGGATCCAGAAGGTAGGCACTCAAGCCTTTGAATGTAGCACACATGAAGCCTGTTTGAAGAACAAATCGTCCCTGTTCCACCAGATTCTTCTCTGTCAGTGTGAACGTGCCTAGCAAGCAACAGATGTAAATCGAAACGCTGCTAATGCGCTTGACCACTGGTACCACGTATTCAATGAGAAGCGTCAAGAATTCCGCAGTATAGAGGAACAAGTTGGGTACAATCTTCTTCTTGCTGATTTGAGGTCTGGCCGTTTCTGGTGCTCTGGAGGCAGACATGCATGTAAGCTTCTTCCCCCAGTAAATGAAAGGAGGGTCATTAAGGTACTCGGACGCTTTGCCCAGTAGTGCACCATAAGGCACAATCTGGGTAGTAATGCTGATCGTTCGACCTGTGGCGGTCATCATCAGGTCATATGGCGTGTGGATCTTTCCACATGTTCTGCATGGTTGAGGATCCCACAACACTTCGGCGTAGACCCGCGCCCTCTCTGCAACCAGGAAGGCCTCTATGTTCCACCAGTCCAACCACAAGCCGCAGAGTGTGGGGAATGCAGCGAAGAAGACGTTGCACCGCACAATTCCGCCGCCGGGCCCTGTCCCATCGGGATCCAAGCCATCCAGGTCGATGGCCAGGAACCTTCCCACGCGCTCGAGCAAGTAGTCCTGGCCCATGAAGTGGCCGTTGACGGCAATGAACACGAAGACGATGCCTCCCGAAGCGCTCAGGAAGAGTAGCGTTCGCCCCATGTAGAGTGCCAGGGTGTCATCGTGCTCACACATCCACACAGTTTGCTGGAAAGGGTTTGCGAACAGCAGGGCACGAGTGAAGAGCACCATGGAGAGCTGGATGATGGCAAAGGACAGCCCCAACATGCCCATGATCGAGGACTGCGCGAAGATGCGCTGGCATTCCGGCCGGGTTGATCTTGACATGCTACGCGCGGCGACGAAGAGCCCGAAGAGATCGTAGTTGAGCCACTGCATCGCACAAACAAGCACAGCCACCAAGCCAACCGAACCCACGAGGACACAAGAGCCCTCGCACAGGGGCATGCCTATGGTAAAGGTAAGCGCGACAGAGACTCCCTGGGAAGCTGTGTCCATCATCTGGTAGATCAGCATGCCAGGTTCCCGAAGAAGCTCAAGAAGGCCAGGAAAAATGTCAACAATGAGGCTCGCCTCAATGCTTTCGATGATGCCCATGGATATCATCTGTGCCCGCAGGATCAACATGTCAAAAATGAACTTCAGGAAATACACGAGTGACGCGGCAAAGGCCACCGCACAGCCCATGCCCACATCAACGCCGTCTGCGGTGTCTTCGTCGGTTTTCATGCGCACCCTTGTAATCTTCCTGCGCAAGGCCATGTCTCGCAAGTCCAGCGGATTGTATTTAGACTTGAACCATCGGATGACCACACTTACGCCAATGAGGCCCCGAAGGGCGCCCTCACCGCAAATGATTCCGATGCCCATCCAGGGAGCCATGCCCGCGAAGAGGAATCCGAAAAGTAAGAAGAGAAGGCCTCGGTGCAGCTCGAGCGGACTCGGCAGCTCTCCATTCGGCAGCACAAACCAACGCGACAAACGCGCAAAGGACGAATCGCTGTGGGCCAAGAAGTCTCTCCACTCGACTGCAGGCCACAGAAATGTTGCAATCACCCTGCGCTGCCAGAGACGGAGGCCCTTCCGTGCAGGCGGTGTGTGGCACCACTCCGTGATGCGCTCACGGACGTCTTTCGGCAAGCCAAGTGCTGAGAAGTATGCTAGGACGGTGATCCCCAAGCCGGCCCATGGAAGACGGTTTGACAGCCAAATGGTGGCATACTCAAAGTTGAACTTGATGCGCAAGTCATCAGATTCAACGGCAGCGTCAGTATCGTTGAAGATCTGTTCGGAGCTGATGAAATCACAACAACATCGACTGATGGCAAACTTGGGGTCGCCCATGGGGCAACAGTCGCCTTCGTCGCCAAAATTGCGACTGCAGGTCTTGTGAGTGACGCAAACAGAATCTCCCATCAAGCTTGTTGCACCGGTGAGTTGAATGACGCAGTTGTCGCTCTCCCTTCTGTTACGCCACTCATCTAATGTTTCCAGCTCAATCCTTTTGTCAGATAGGACCGGAGGACATTCTCCAAGACTTTTGAACTGAGCACCAAGATGGGTTCGTTCCGTCTGGACCCGCTCACCTGGGGCTGCTGCAGGCGGTGGGTCCCTAATCCACGTGGCCTCAATCCAGTCAGAGCCATTCCAGCGTTGAAGCTCAGCTTCGGAGGCCGGATCGCAACAAATGCTTGACTCGAGCCTGCTCTGCACCATCTTGATGCAACGAACCTCGACGGCCTTGGAAAGAAAAGCGACGCCCAGCCAAGCGCCTGTGCAGTTCACACGTGTAGAGTCCTGTGTACCAAGAACACCAGACGGCTTCCACCCAAAGTTGCAGTTCGCACCCCATGTAGTAAGCATGTCGTCGTCTCGGCTGTTGCTGGCATTGTAGCCATCCAGGGGATCGGCAACCGTTTCCCTGTAGAAATCAATGCTACCGGATGAGATGGCTGTTCCACCGGGGATCTCCTCGACACACGTTTCGTCTTTGAAGAAGACCAAGTCTGCCACACCCCAGCTACGCCGGTTGATCCTGCTGAGCTGATTGCGGCATACACCAGGCCGCGTTTTTCGATGCACAACTCTCCACATGGTGTTGGGAGCCGCGGGCCTCTGCTCCCAAGAACTGCCACCCAGACCCGAAAGCTCCATCGTCCTCTGCCATCCTTTGCCGTCCCACTTGGAGAGGCCCACTCTTGCGCTCTGCATGTGCTGGTAACCGCTTTGAATGAGCCTCACACATTCAACCATCTCGGCCGAACCAGCACCCAGATCAAGCCCAATCCATGCTCGTAATGAGCTGCAGCCGACCGGAAGACCTGTCCACTCATATCCCAGGGGCAAGTCTGCTTCCTCGACATATGCACACTGAGAGACCCAGGCAGTCTTTAGGTTTCGATCGAAAGCCAGATGTGGGCCATGCTCACTCTCCGGCGGAACGAAGCCACTTGCGGTAGGTTCTCCAGAAAGCCGATCCCCGGCACAGGAAGGGTCACTGTGAAACTCCAGCTCGCTCAGGACCCAGCCTTCTGATACAAAGTCCAAATTCTCGACTCTCCAAATCGTGTTGGCTGCCGCAGGCCTTCTTTGCCAGCCACCTCCTCCCAAACCCTCCAAAGTCACCTCTTCTGGCGACATCTCGGGATCGCTGCCCCACTTCTCACCATCCCAAATTTCAAGCTGCACGGAGAAGGCATGTTGTACTGGCAGCGGGCCCTGCCTGATTCGAACGCACCGCACAAATATGGATTCCGACAGATAATCCACTGAAACCCATGCTGGGCGACCCAGGCTTGGCTTATGGGAGACAAGCGTAAAGGTGGTCTCGTCTCCATCTGCAACCAACTCAGCCTCTGACCACATTGGAGGCCGCCCTGCAAGGTCAAAGGCCGCCAATGCCGAGACAAATCCAGAGACTGACAGGCCAGCGCCACCGCTTCCCGAGTTGAACGTCCTAACTCGCTGCGAGCAGAGCGAATCAGCGAAGTACTCAATCTCTTCAACGCGCCAATGAGCATCAAACGCCAAGTTGGGTCGCAGACGCCACTTGGTCATGTGGCTCGCTGGTTGGCGCGACCAAATTCCACCCCCACCTCCATCCAGAAAGCCTGAGGCCGAGATGGTAGACATGGTCCAGTCCCTACCATTCCACAGCTCCACCTTCAGTCCTGCGGCCTGTTGTTCTACGTTCGCACTCTGCCAGAGCTTGATGCAGCGCAAAAGTGCGAGGCCTGCATTGGCATCTTCTGTCTCAAGAGGCAGCTGCATGCCAATCCAATAGCCACGCGACATGTTGCACTGCGTGCAATCAGCACCCCATGGAGGGTTCTCCTTCAAATCGAACAGCCTGTCAGGGCCTTCTGCAAAAACCGAATAACCACTGGCTAGCGGGCTTCCGCCTTCCACTGGATCAATGCACAAAGGATCCTTGAAAGCGACGAGCTCGTGGATCCGCCACTGCCCTATGATGGGGCCATCGTTCAAGATCCTCCACTGTGTCCAAGGTGGCGCCGGCCTTTGGTTCCAGGTGCCGCCTCCGATGAAGCGGTGCGTCTCCTGGCCCTCCCAGCGCCCATCCATGAACCGGCTCAAGATGATGGAAGCCGCCGTGTGCTGCTGAAATCGGCTTTGCATCAGCCTAAGGCATCTCACCTGCGGCCCAGTGTAGGTCACAAGTCCCGCGCTCGCGGGTCGCATGTACAAGCCAAGCCAAGCCTCATATGGAACACAGCTTCCCATGCAATGCGACTGCCACGCTAGGTTATGGCTTGTGTCGCCGTCGAAAGCCAGCGCTGCATTGTGTGCATTGGTGGGGCCTGCCATGTCCAGAGGCTCTCCTTCAAGCTTCGCACCAGCACAAGCTTCTGATTCATAAAACTCCAATTCATGGACACGCCATTCGGCACTGGTCCAGTCATCATTCATAATGCGCCATGCAGTCCTGTTCGGAGGTCTCAGATCTTCCCAAACTCCGGGTGCCCCGCCAAAGAAGGGAGTAATTATCGTTGGCAGCCACTCAGGATTGACGACTTGTGGTAAGAAACCGGGATCCCAAAATCGCTCCTTTGAGAGCCAGTTTTTACCAGTCCAGTGCTGCAAATCGAAGCCCCTCGAGTAGGACGGCCGCTCTCTTATGATGGCCAAGGGGTTTGGCATGTACTGGTAGAGTCGAACACACTTCACAACCGCTTTTTCATCGCCGAAGTCGAATCCAATAAACGCTTCCAGGGGGCTGCAACCTGTATCCGCATTGCAGCTAGCACGCCAATTTGTCTCTAAATTCAAGTCTATCGCCTGCAGCTCGCCTTGCGTCAGTGGATTAAGGCTACCTGAGGAAAAGGGAGCTCCATAGACTTGAAGAGAACACAGGTCATCTTTGAAGAACTGCAACTCAGTCAGGGTCAGCGGATCTTCCGTTGGCCACAGATTAACTATCCTCCATGCGCTGTCTTCAAAACTTGGTCTCCTCGACCAAATTCCAGCACTTACAGCTTCCAGGACTTGTAAAGTAACAAAAACATAGTCACCTTCGGTTTCAGTACTCGTGTCTGCCCAGACTTCTCGAATTGAAATGATGTCAGACTTGTGCAGCGGATTTGGGTCTTGGAAAATCCGTATGCAGCGCACCTTCAGCTTCTCCATGAATGGACTTGAGATGTTGAAAGGCTCATCTTTATTTGTCCATGCTTCGCCATACTCTGGCGAACTTCGCACATCAAGGCCGATGTACGCCTCGAGAGGAGCACAACCTCCAAGAACTTCCCTGCAGTCTGCTGTCCAGTTCGTCTGCAAACTTCCATCGAATGCCCTGAAAGCCTCGGTCGCCTCCTCATTCTCGCGCCGGGTTCCAGAACTCCAGATATTGGTCAGAAATGAATCTACTGGACGATCCTCATGACCTCGGATGCATGGACTGGAAGGACACACTTCTTGAGGTCCTCAGCACTATCTGCCATTATCTATGCAGAAGGGGACAACCTGCAGGCCCATTCACACACCAAGCATCATGAACATCATCGAGAGACCACCCTTACGAAACTATAAAGCTCGAACCAACTCCGAGATGCCCTTCTCCCTGGACCTCGTGCAAACGCCTTATTGTGTGTGTGTGCCTTCGCTTGCCGTGAAGCCAGAAAGGTTGATGAACGTGCCATCTTTAAAGGACGTGCGCCAAAGTCTGTTGTCATTCTGCTTTTATACTGCAAGTGGGGTTGTGGAATGTCGGCTTTGGATGATTACGGTCTCTCCGGATCGTGCATGGCTCAGAGTGCAGGACAACTCACAACTGAATTCCCCAGCTACAACATCTCTTTAATCAAACGCTTAGGAAACGAGAGTCCCTGCAAAGCAAGACCCCAAGTTTTGCATATTAAAAGGCTGTGCAGTCTAATTCTGGGTTCAACCAGAACTCCCCCACTCTCATTATTCAATTGCAAATCCCCCTCACAAACTGCAAATGCCTTCCGCTTTTTGATTTTTACCTTCTTCCTCTTCTTGAAACCCAGCTCGTATTGATACAGCGTTTTTCAAAGCGAAGAGCAAACTTTCGCATTCATATCTCGTGGGCAAGTGTACATTTATGCTTATACACTTCTCCCTACCTTGAGTGTGGGGCTGTTTCAAGTTTCGCTCAGCTATCTCAGCTATTCTTCTCACCCGAATCTCCTGCACTCCTCGGACTCCTCGTGTCTGGCCAAGGCCCGTGCTGCCCAACCCCGGAGAATCCCGCTGAGAATCCCGTTGAGAATCCTGCCAAGTATCACTGTAAGAGAGCATGTTCTGTGCATACATTTCAACCTGAATCAGGGCTGGTCTATGTTGAGCTCACATTTTGAGCACAAGCACACGACGGTGCACAGAGCATACTAGTGAAACAGGCTTTGGGCACATCTCTTGTTTCAGTGGCCTCTCACACGGCGCAAGCAAATGACGGGCCATAGAGCACACATGGATACACATGGTGCGGGGTCGGGGTAAATCTCTTGCATTGGTGGAAGCTCACGCTCTGGGCATGAAAACACACAACCGTGTACAGAGCTGACAAGATGTCTCCTTCTTTTGGGGGGAGCCTATGTGAAAACATGTAAAGAAAGGAACAGAGAAGACGACTTTACAGCGTTCAACACCCATGCTTCGAAAAAAGGCAAGAATCATCGGCTTGTTTACTTCTCATGCTCTCCATTCCTAAGTACGGCGCGCAAGAGGAATGGGCCTCACTCAGGACTCTCGAGCTGCTTTCGCCCACAATGCTGATATCATTCGGCCATCATTCACGTCAACGGGTCATGCAAAGTTTCATTCGACATCTAATGCAGCGGGCCGAGCAATAAAACCATGGAAGGCGCCATGGTCCATGGTCTGACATTCGAGCAGGATCACACTACATAGTGCCACGGCCGTCAGCTTCATTGCAACAAGGTGAAGTACAACTTCAAAAGCGATGCCGGTGTGTTGCGATAGTGACCCATTCTGTGCAAAATGATTCGAATGTTCAGCTTGACATTCCAGCGCTCTCAATTCAGGACAAAGCTTGGAATTAGACCACCTTGCAACTGTGGAGCGAACCAAAACAAACCAAAGATACGTTCCGAGCCTTAAGTACTTGATCATGACAGGCGAGCAAGCAAGATAGAGGTGTTCAGCATCCATCCTATTTTGCGCGAGTCTCATCCAGCTTGGAACGCCGAAATTGCCCAGCTCCAGCAGTGAGCAAAACACAAGTGCCACACTGCAAATCTCCGACCGGGACAAAGCAAGTATGATCTTCATGTGCATTGGCTGTGGCCATGAAACCCTAGACCCTGGACTTGGTGCAGGGCAAAATCCAAAGAAGAGCTCCAGCTCGTGAACTACCCAGGCATCTGGAATAGGAGACTCATTGGAGATCACGATCTTTTGCGGAGGTCCCGCTGGTGTGTCCAGCTGAAGTTGGCGACCATCTAGACCCCTTGCTACATGGGGAAATGTGAACAGCCACAGCCAAATGCACCAAAGCCCAATGAATCTGCATGATAAGACGGTCATTCACGCTCAGACCGACGATGACTGCAGCACACCAGGCTGTGTAAAGGGCATGGCTCACGAGACATTAGGCCACATGATTGCTGTCTAATCTACACACCGAGACATTCATAATCTGGCACTTGCAAGTTAATTTTTTTTTACATGCAAGTCATAAATGAGTCATAAGCTCTTTCCTGGCCAGACCAATCGCTCATGATCGGAGTGGCAACTGTCGAATTTGAGGTTTGGCAAGCTCGGAAACAGTGCATGTCCATTCAAATTTGAGTCACCACGAGTCACCACGACTGAAGGCCGATGCCCGGCCTGCCCGATGATGTCCAAGGCATTTTGCCGCACACGCAGATGAGAACCCTGAGCAAAAGCTCCCAAACTCGAAAAAAGCACATGCAAGCCTTTGCAAGCACAGAGACTTCTGCTACGCACTGAAGCACTCAAGGAGCAAGCTGTGCCCGCCTCCCAGGAGTTCACGTGCTCCCAAACGGCAAGCGCCCCACAACCTCGGGGAAAAACCCTAACAAGACCAAGGTCAACAAAACAGTGTAGAAGTCAGATTCTCTCAAACAACTGGAAATACAAATATGTGTATGTGTGTGTGCTGAAACTTCCCATCGCCTCGCACTGGCAGGCTACAACTCAGAAGCTCGCATCTGGATGCTTCCAGAGGTGTTTCTGTATCGGTTGGACATCAGAGTCTCGCTTGTCTTATTGCTTGTCTGGGCAAACCCGCCGGTTACGTTCGGCATGCATCGTGCTGCTCTCAGATCAAATAACAGCACAGCGGGTGGGGATTCTTGAGGTTGTGGGGTTCAAAATCTGGAGGATCAGGGTGTATCGGCCTGTATCGTGTTCACAACCAAGCTTCTGGCAGGATGGGAAGACTGCGCCGCAGCCTCAGTGGAGTCGACCCGGCGCATCGGATCAATCGGTGAAGGTTGCGACATAGCAAAGGCCCGAAGGCTCCCCTAAGCCAACCACCCGGACAGTTGCTGACTGGTTCTAGTTTGGGCCTCAGGACTTTATATGAGATCAGATCAGGATTGGCACCACAAAACAGGACGGAGCCTTGTCTCACTGGACTGCAGGCTTGTCAGCAGGCGCCGAATGCGATCCGAGTCCATGACGGCCATAGCTACCCCTCCTCCTCATGGATAACTAGTGTCTTGGGCCTTCTTGGGCTAAGAAACCTGCATGCTACAAACTACCATCACACCTACACTGACCTACACGTACGCCGCCATCATCTTTGGGCTCGGCTCTGCCAGTTTCTGATCAGCGAACATCGCTCAGAGCCACCACGCAAGTCATGTAGCCGCAGGTACAGACACAGCAATGCTACCTCTCTCCAAAAAGCAGAAAATGGTGCCACCGCCAGCTGTTTCTCATTTCAGCCAGGCTTTAGAGTACCGACGCCATCGGCCCGAAACATGGGAAGCAACTACTTTTCCTTGTCAGTAGGTGCACCCAAATTTGAGGCGGGTCAGCTTTTCTTTTTGTCCTGTGTAGCACATGCAGGTGGCCTTGCAGCCTGGGAAAGCGTGTTGCGAAAGCGTGTTGCACGCGGCGCCTTCTTCTTCCTGTGTTTCTTCGCATCTTCTCCTCGCAAGAAGCCGACCACAAGATACCACACGTGATCCTAGCACGGTGGATGACTTCCACGATGCCTTCTTGACCGCTGTCGGAAGGGACCTTGACCAGGTAGCAAGTCAAGTTGTTGTGGGTGTGCAGCGGTATATCATGACTCAACTGCGCTAACTCCCAGACATTCTCCTCTTCGGTAGCCTCAGATCCTTTGTACCTCTTCAACCGCCCGGTGAAAACAAACTGCGCTCCAACGCACTCAAGGAATCCACAACGAGCCTCTTCAAGAACTGGGTGCACCTTGCAACTGCTGCTGGTCTATGCTTCCGCATCATGGTGTCATGCGAATGATGGAGAGCTTCTGCTTGTAAAGGCTAGCCTTGGTTTTCTGGCCTGTCCGACAATCCCTTTTTTTCTGAATCGTGTTTGGGGGAAAACATGTTGATGCTGCTGGCAGGAAGCTGAAACTTGAAAAATCGAATGCCGTTGAAGATAACGACGTTGGCGACATGTTGGTGGGACTTGTAGACTTGCATCACTTACATCTGTTGACCTGAGCCAGCGACAACAGCATGGAAATGTTCATGGCCATGAGTCCATACATCTTCCACCTCGAAATGACAAGCAGTGACGTCACGTCCTTGTTTGTTCGCCCTGCGATTTGCAACACTCGGCCCCATACTTGTCCCACGAGCTTGGGGCAGGCGTTGGGCTGCCAACCTGCGTCCGCGACGTTCACACTCAGCACCGATATCCTTGCCCATCCTAGCAGAAAAACTGAAACCAATGCCAGGGAACTAGCTTCGGCGCTTTCTTTTCCCGGTGTCCTAATGGGCGCATATCTGGGGCCCCTGATCACGTTTCCCCTGTAACAGAAAGCTGCGGGGTGTTTCGTTCGGTTGTGGCCTGAGCAGGATCCGGGGTCTCCAAAAACATTTTGGCAGTTTCTGGCTCTGTGCACGATGCTCTTCGCGGCGGAGGTGGCAATGATTTCGCCTTGAAGAAGAATCGTGGCCTTTGGCGGCCGTGTACTTTGATTGGACAAAACGGAACGGAATCGAGCAGAACGCCGACTTGCGACCTGACATCATGTCAGACGTCTCGATCTTTCTGGGCCCCCATATCATGCATGGAGCAACAGACCAAAAACCATGTCCGCACCAATTAAGGACATGCGCAGCATAAAAAAAGTGGCCTGTAGCCCCGGTCCGTTCTCCCGCGGCTATGGTGCTGCAAATTATTATCATTCAGTGCTCGGAGCCCGTTGACATGACATACATATACACAATATCTCACGCTGAAGCGCCCGGGCTTTCGGCAATCTACTTCGTTTTTCCTAGTACATTGTGCTGCACAGACCACTTGCAAAAGTGGCTTAGCTGAAGCTCGACTAAAACATGATTGAGGGTTGAGGAGTACTCGTTCCAGTGCGGCAATCTGAGTACGGCCGTTGCATCGGAATCTGCTGTTTGTTGAGCCCTTCATCTGCCACACTATGTCCTCTGCTAGGCAGGCTGAACGTTCGCGGGCTCCCTTTTTTGCAAGCCGCTTCAGTATATGCTACAGAGTGGATATTGACAGCTGCGGGATGCTGCCCCAAGCTGGGACACACAAAAATAGGGGTTCCTGATTTATGTCGCCTTTGCGGGCTGCACGTCGGGTTTAGACGCATCACAATCTGTGGTTGATTCTCGTCAAATCCGCCGAGGCCTCGGGCCGGAGGTGTATAGGTTGTCAGAACAGGCACCCCCCTCCAAATCCCTTTTTCGGACCCCTTTTTTTGGCCTCAAATGGGTACCCGCCCTGGGAAACCGGGGTCCGCAAGCGGACGGTTCGCCAGGACCAAAGGCAGTTGAAGCCCCTCCCAGCAGGGCCCCCCCCCCCCCACCCCCCCCACCCCCTCCCCCACCCCCCACCCCCCCACCCCCCCCCCCCCCCCACCCCCGCTGCCCCCCCCCTCCCCCCCCCCCCCCCCCCCCCCCACCCCCCCCCCCCCCTTCCCCCACCCCCCTCCCCCCCTCCCCCCACCCCACCCCCCCCTCCCCCGAAGAGTCGCCTTAAACCTTAAGGGGCCTGGCTCAACCCTACGATCACTCCAAGCCGAACCCTAAACCCAAAAAAACCCTCAACCCCAAAGCGTGAACCTTGAGCCCTAAACTAACCCTCAACCCCAAACCCCAAACCATAAACCATAAACCCGGAACCCTCAACCCTCAACCCTCAACCCAACCCTTATTGCTTGGGGTCCAGCGACTTGGGCGCTGCGGAATCACCATGCTCACGCGGATGCGCTGGGCCGGGCCGAGGCGGGTCGCGTAGCGTTAAAATTAGTTTTGGCGCATGGAGCAACTGAATATGTTAATCCTCCAGCGTGCACTTTGTCCTTTCTTGCAAAGGAAGACTGTCTTTGCACACTGTCTGCTGCTTTGCGACTGCCAGCAGCTACAGTTACAGCAAGAAGCTGCACATCAGATCCGAGCCTCAAAGACAACATGAAAGCCCATACCTATACTTTCTCCGCCAACCACCCTGATTCACTTTGTGAAGCTTTGATACAACTTTGTTGGCTGTGCGTGCCTCATAGACAATCTGGCCCTGGCTGTCCTCACGTCAAACTTTTGAACCATGCAAGCAAGGACCCTCAATGTACCTCGGAAGTACAGCACTGAGTCTGTGACTGTTTGAACGTCTCCTTTTATCAGCTTGATGCTGAATTCACGCCAAACCTGCCACGGTGAAGGCTTTCTGGAAACATGGGTCTCTCAACTTCTCTTTTGCATGCACGAATCACGATTCACTTTGGAGACCGCTTCTGTGAACCTTCCCTTCGGAACCTGAAACACGGTCTTGCTCTTAAACGCCCACTTTCAACCCAATGCCAGGGCGCAACACCGTTGGACCGTTTGTCACTCGTCTGCCCAACAGAGCCACAAGCGGCCTTGTCCATGTCTGGGATGTGAACATCAGCACCTGATGCAGAAACCCGAAAAGCTCGCTCTTGCTTTCCGACTAAGCCATGGCTGAAATCTGGTGGTAAGCTTCGGACCGTCAGTGTCTTCATCATCGTCTGCTAGCCTTGGGCACCGACTACCTAAAGGTATAAGCTTGAACACGCAACTAGAAAACACAAACTCCTGTGTGATGAATGGTGGTGGTCTTCTTCTTATTCTTCTTATTCTCCTTATTCTTCTTATTCTTCTTATTCTTCTTATTCTTCTTGTTCTTCTTATTCTTCTTATTCTTCTTATTCTTCTTATTCTTCTTATTCTTCTTATTCTTCTTATTCTTCTTATTCTTCTTATTCTTCTTATTCTTCTTATTCTTCTTACTCTTCTTACTCTTCTTATTCTTCTTACTCTTCTTATTATTCTGCTTATTCTTCTTATTCTTCTTACTCTTCTTATTCTTCTTGTTCTTCTTAT